TAATGAAGTCACTGTCAAAGATACTGCCATTGTTCCAAACCCCCACACTCTTCTGTCCCAGGTCCCACCGACTGCCACTATTTTTACTGTTGTGGATCTGGCTAATGCATTTTTCAGTGTGCCACTAGACCCTTCCTGTCGGTTCCTTTTTGCCTTTACCCACGAAGGACAGCAATACACCTGTACTGTCATGCCACAGGGGGCCCAGAATTCCCCCACACAATTCGCCCGTGCTATGTCTTTGGTACTGGAACCTTGGCAGAAATCCCATCCTGATGTTGTTCTCCTGCAATATGTCGATGATCTCCTTCTCTGTGCTACAGATCTTTCCACTGCTGAACGAGACTCTGAGGATCTCCTATGTTTCCTCGCTGAAGCGGGTTGCAAAGTCTCCAAATCCAAACTTCAGTGGTGCCGGCCCTCTGTGGTCTTCTTGGGACATTGTCTTTCCCATGGCACCAGACATCTAACCTCACAACGTGTACAAGCTATCCTGCAACTCCCATTGCCTGCAGCACATCAGTCTCTACATGCCTTCTTGGGACTCATCACGTATTGCAGGTCCTGGATACCTGAAGCCTCGAAACTCATGCAGCCACTTTATGATACCCTCAGAAGTGAACCTTTTCATCTCTCTGAAGATGCTATTGCCTGTTTTAACAGTCTGAAGAGGGCTATCGCGTCAGCACCAGCCTTGGGCCTTCCAAACTACCAGTTACCTTTCAATTTGTTTGTTTCTGAAAAATCTGGACATGCTTCCGCAGTCCTTACCCAAAAACATGGCTCACGCCAGCGGCCTACTGGCTATTTCTCATGCATGTTTGACCCTGTTGCTAGGGGTAGTCCCTCCTGCCTCAGGGCAGTGTTTGCTGCCAGTGCCCTCCTGGACAAGACTAATGACTTTGTTCTGGGTCACCACCTCACAGTGTTGGCCCCTCATGATATTTCTGCAATCCTTCAACAAGTTCAACCTAAACATCTTTCTTCTCAACGCTACCTTCGCCTGCAAACTTCTTTACTGTTACCTGACAATGTAACTCTTCAACGCTGTCTCTCTCTGAATCCGGCCACTCTTCTGCCACTTCCCAAGGGGGGAATTGTACAGTACTGGTACAGCTTAGATATCAATCCAGAGATCCGAGCAGATTTGCAACTGCCCGACCTTGCACCCCCACATGATGTGCAATCAGAGAATTTGCTACACTGCACCCTGTGGTTTAAGGATAGTCCAGGCTCTGATATGAATTATGAGGAAGAACTGTTTCAACTCAAGGAAATTCAACTCACGCTGACTGACTTATTATGGGACTCCACAGGTAACATGATCTTATTAGTTCATCTCCCAGAGAATGTGACACATCTCTACCATCATTGGGAAACGGCTGTCCCACACATATCTCTCGCTAAATCCCCTGACATTTCATGGAGAGATTTAGGCCCAATGGCCAAGGCCTGGAATAAAACTGCCCAGGAACAACTGACCTCTATGGGGGTAACCAAAAAGGCTTTTAACCACTGTACAGCTGGGTACCCTAGGTACCACACAGAAGTCTGTGAGGACTTACTCACCATAGACTGTGACCCTGACATTCCTCATGATTGTTTTGAACAAATGAAAATGGAAACTACCCACTTGCCAACTGTGTACGAAGCTGCGTTACTCAACCCAGACCAAACACTGTTTGTGGATGGCTCCAGATTTGCTGATGAACAGGGGCAATATCATACTGGGTATGCAGTCACCACAGGATGTCAAGTATTACAAGCAGCTGCCCTTCAGCCAACCAAGTCAGCTCAAGAAGCCGAGCTAACAGCCCTAACCGTGGCCTGCAAGTTGTCTGAAGGCCTACGCATCATTATCTATACAGACTCAAGATATGCCCTGGGAGTGGCACATGACTTTGGTCTAATTTGGAAGACTACAGGATTTCTTACAGCCACCGGTACCCCAGTGAAACATGGGGCAGCCATTGCAGAACTGATGGACGCTTTGGAACTTCCAGCAGAGGTGGCAGTGTTGAAAATGAAAGCCCATGGAAGACTAGATTCAGAGGAAGCACAGGGCAACTACTTGGCTGATCAGGCCGCCAAGGAAGCAGCACGACAAGGGTGGGAAGTGGACAGAAGAGTGGCCACTGACACAGTACCTATCTACACTATGCAGACATTACCTACGGATCTCAGGCTTCTAAAGGAGCAACAAGCAGCTGCTACTCCCCAGGAGAAACAAAGTTGGAAGAACAAGGGAGCTGTTCTCCGTGATGATGTTTACACCATCAATCTTAAGTTCTGTCTACCCAAGAATATGTATCCAGCTGTTGTCCAATGGGCCCATGGACCTGCCCATTTGTAAAAACATCTGATGAACTCTCTGATTGATAAATATTTTGAAGCACCAGGTATTACTACTCTAACACAGAATTATTGTAGATCTTGTGCAATTTGTGCTAAATGTAACCCTGGGAAGATTGTTAAAACTGCACCCAACCACTTGGCCAAACCACAGTACCCTTTCCAGAGGATACAGATTGACCACATCCAGATGCCAAAGAGTGGACGCTATGAATACGCACTAGTCATTGTAGATATGTTCTCAGGGTGGCCAGAAGCTTTCCCAGTGGCTAATCTCACTGCGAGGACTACGGCCAAGCATCTTCTGATGGAAATTGTCTGTCGATATGGAGTCCCAGAAGTGATTGAAAGCGACCAAGGGACCTCTTTCACCACCTCGTGGACACGGGAAGTCTGGTCAGCACTGGGGGTGACCCTTGCATTCCACACGCCATATCACCCACAAATTAGTGGTAAGGTAGAACGCATGAATGGCACCTTAAAAGCCAGAATGCTTAAAATGTCACAAGAAACTAACATGCCCTGGCCCGAGAGTCTCCCATTAGCGTTGTTTAGCGTAAGGTACACTCCAAGGGGAAAATATAGCCTATCACCTTATGAGATTTTGTTTGGTACAGCACCCAGACTAGGTTGTTATTTCCCCCAACAACTTCAGATCCAGTCAGACGCTATGGTAGATTATGTGACTGCCCTCTCACATGCCTTGACCAAAATCCATGCCCAAGTGTTTTCTTCTATTCCAGATCCTGAGTTGAATACAGGTACACACAAGCTGCTCCCTGGTGATTGGGTCATGGTCAAGAAATTTCTCAGGAAACACACCCTTGAACCAAGATTTGATGGTCCTTACCAAGTGCTCCTAATCACAGCTACTTCAGTTAAGCTAGCCGGGAAGAGTTCTTGGATACACGCTTCACATTGCAAGAAAGTGCCTGCTCCAGAAGAGGCTACCCCTACTGAACTATGAATTTGTTATGTATTCTGTGTTTTCTTACGCTGCTACAATTTGCATGGGCCCAACAGGTGGCCATAACCAAAGATAACCATGTTTACACTTTCTGGTACAATTCTTCTAACACAGATGTAGCTACATATACCTTTGACTACTGTGACATTGTTGTTTGCACCTTCCCACAAGCACAATATGCAGCCATATACAAGGACATACCTAACAAAAAAGATCCATACATTTGTGTGACTGGAGGAACTTGGGGGCATCACTGTAGTTCATGGAAAGCAGCTGGGTGGAACACGGGTAGACCATGGGGCTACAGACCCCAGAGTGCATTAGACAGAACTGACAAAGACGGAAAACCTCTACTCTCCAGAATGACCTTAAGTAAACCTATTGGGTCAACCCCTATCAAACTTACCTTAAACATAGAGCACCCCAGCCCAAAAGATGCAGGGGAATATGTAATGGGAATGTACTGGAGGGGAGGCGGCTCATATAATAAACTGGGGACATTTTATCTGCAAGACATGCTTACTTCACCAGACTGGGTAGGAACCACTCACATGACTATTAACCCATTCAAACCACATATTAAGACTCTACATGATATGGTAGCTATAGCCAACCCCACCTTTGAAGACACCATGGCAGTAGAAACTGGGTTCTCAGACACAAATTTGTGGTTGGAATGGATGAGATACAATGCTAACTCACACAATTGTTATGTATGTGGAGGAGCCAGACCCCATCTGGGTACAGTTCCTTTAAGTTTACCTCCTGAAGTAGAATTATGTGCTTTAAGCCTTTATGCACAATCCACCACAAATTCCTCAACATGTGAATCATGGAAAAGGGTTTACCCAATCACCCAAGGACACGTTAGGCCACCCGATGGGGTCACAGTATATCCAGGTAATTACACGTGTTATTCGATACCTAAGAACGCTGGTGTATATTTGGGCAAATTCCCATCTGGATATTGTTCAACCTACCATAGCCCGCCTGTATCACTGCTAATGAATCATGTAAAGACAGTTGGAGACATATATTGGTTATGTGGCGACAGACAGTTGAGGTCCCAACTAGTGGGGCAATGGTGGGGGGAATGTACCTTGACCAAAGCTATAATGCCCATCCACATCATTCCAGACGGTAGCCATAACACATTAGACCACACGCACATGCATCTTAGAGCCAGGCGTGAAGCCCCCATCCGAGGAAGCTTCGACCCCCATGTATATATTGATGCTATTGGTGTGCCAAGGGGGGTGCCTAGTGAACTCAAAGCAAGGGATGAGGTGGCAGCAGGATTTGAATCCTTGATTCCAATGATAACTGCTAACAAGAATGTCAATTGGATTAATTACATTTATTATAACCAACAGCGCTTTGTTAATTACACCAGGGATGCCCTACAGGGCCTGGCAGAACAATTACAAGCCACCACCCAAATGACATTTCAGAACAGAATGGCTCTAGATATGATCTTAGCCGAGAAGGGGGGTGTATGTAAAATCCTCCCCGAAACTATGACATGCTGCACATTTATTCCAGACAACACTGGGCCCAATGGTAAGGTAACTATGGCCATAGATAAGCTAGATAGCCTCTCCGATGAGTTGAAAAAGAACTCAGGAGTCACTGACACTTGGGACAGATGGTTTGGATGGATGAATGGTTGGCAAAGAACCCTATTTCAGGTAGGAACGGCTGTTCTTATAATGATTATCATTTTCTTATTCCTAACCTGTTGTGTGCTCCCTTGCATACAAAAGTACTTACAAAAAGCAGTAGGAAAGACTATAGATGACGTGACTCCTACTTTCCTACATCAAGATACCACAGACCTCGAAAGTGACACCCCACACACACCCCTCCAATCACATCAGTTCAAACAGACAACTGCATTCCTGTAGGGACAGTGTAGGGAAAGCGTCTGCCTTTACAAGCAAGTCTCACATGCGGAGATGTGGTGGACTAGCCGCCGCGGGTTACCCACGGAGTGAAGTGTTCGATGCTTGTTAAGACAGATGAGCTGCAGGCAGCTAGGGATACACTAGGGACAGTAGCAGTTGTTATGGTAAATAGCCATTTTAAGGGGGGACTGTTGTGGAAATAAGGTCTACACATATTTCCTAGTTAGTAAAATGTCTATTTACTCATCTCACAAAAACCAGTATATAAGCTATACACATATATTTTAGTCAAAATGGCTGCTAGAAGCTTCTAACCCCTCCTCCCCAATAACATCGACTAACTACCTCGTGCAGCAAGATGGCGCCGGGAGACCGTGGGAGACCCTCATGGTCCCGGTGACATCACCCTCAGTAGGCAGAGCATTAGGAAGACCACTTAACACCTAACCAATTATTGATGTATTATTCCATGTTATCTCTGACAGTACCTATGATGTAATTTTGCTTTAAAAGGGACCTGCCGTCCCCTCTGAATAAACATTCCTCAAGTTATTCAACAACCTGGAACCTGTGTCTGGTGTGAATTACTTCAGGGAGCGTGCACGCATTGTTTCACTGATTTGGCCAGGGGCAGATACACAAAGAAATAATCAATTTATTGATTGATTTTTCCATTTCAACATACAGTAGGCTCTTGCAGGGTCTAGCAAGCTATTAACATAGCAGGGGATAAGACAATCCTAATTAAACAGAACTTGCAATAAAGAAAGCCTAAATAGGGCTCTCTTTACAGGAAGTGTTTATGGAAGGCTGTGCAAGTCACATGCAGGGAGGTGTGACTAGGGTTCATAAACAAAGGGATTTAACTCCTAAATGGCAGAGGATTGAGCAATGAGGCTGCAGGGGCCTGTTCTATACACCAAAACTGCTTCATTAAGCTAAAGTTGTTCAGGTGACTATAGTGTCCCTTTAATAGTTTGTGGTATCATGTATAATACCTATGAATTTGGGCTGTGTATGGGGGCTGCTTGTGGAATTGTGTGTGGATGGATATGTCACATTGTGTATTTGGTAGTGTGTGCATGTGTGGGGCTGTTTGGGGTATTGCATGTGAAAGGCTGCATGTGGGGATGTGTGCATGTATGTGGATTGTTGGTGGTGTTGTGTTTGTGTGGAATGTGTGTGTGTTTTTTTATTATTTGTATGAGAGGAGGGTTATTCTGCAGCTTTGTGTGTATCTAGCAGTGTGGGAGGCTTCCCTGGGTTTTAGTTGGGACCAGGCTGGCCAGGTACAGCTCAAGGACATAAGCTGCAACAGGAAGCTGTGTGCTGCTTTACTCCAGTGTGGATTCCCATTCCCAAGTGCTGGGAGGACGTGATCTCCGATAACTTCCTTTACGTGCTGCAATGCATAAATCCATCACCACTTTTTCGTATTATAGATATCTGAAGTTTCACTGGGACTCCTGACAGGCCAGAGCCTGTTTGGCTCTTGTAGCCTTGAGTGTCGTGCAAAGGCACCTCGAGTGCTGTGCATGGCACTAGTGCTGTAGGTTGCCTACCCCTGAATTAGATGAAGAGCTTAGCATAGAGTATGTGTTTTCTTATAGCTGCATCCTTGGAGTTTCCCTCCAACACCAACTCCACAAGATACATGATGCGTGGGAGGTATGACTGTTTTAGTGTTTTTCGTTGATAAGATTCTGTAATTAGGCCCCATCATAATTTTATAACATGACAGGAGGCTTCCTATTTTGCATTAACTCTCTTTACTAAACTCCACAGCAGTAAAGAAAAACATAAAGAGTAACAAATAAATCACTGAGCAGCATAGTATATAAGGGTCATGCTGCCTGTACACTTCCTCTTTCTTTACTGCTCCATCGCAGACAGGTCAGAATATCTGCTCCTCTGGAGCTTTATACATTTATACATTTATACATTTATTGTCATTATCTATTTGTTCCATTCTATTGTTATTATCACTATTATTACTTTAATTTATTCCCTTTTATTTCTGTTCTGTACTGGGCTGTGGGACTAGGGGCTCTCTGTGGGTTTCTATACTCTTATCTGCCCCTCTGTTTATTTTGGGACCTTCCCTGGGCCTCCCCTCAGTCTCCCCAGGTCCCCCCACTGCCCCCCTAACCTGGAGTGCCCTCCTGGGCTCCCTCCTTGCGGCCGGAATCGTTCGCGGCCGTTTTCGCGCCGGCCGGCTTCCGCCCGCGGCCGGCCTCAAAATTTAGTCCCCGGCTTGCGGCCTACACTCGCGGCCGCCATTTTGGATCGCGGACATCGCAAGATTCCCGCGGCCACCTTAGTTTTGCCTCGTGCATCTCATTGGGGACTCAGTGTGGCTGTGCTAACTTGCTGTTACCTCTGCATTGCTGTTTTTCACACCTTTTGTGTCTCACACTGTGACTGAAGGATTACCTGCTCAGCACTCCATCTAGCTGCTATCACTCTGCTACTCAGCCTCTGTGCCTCATCTGCTTCTATCAAGCTATATCCTGTGGCTGGGTCAGTCAGGTCAGTGCTGCTGCCTGTTTATTATTACTGTGACCTGCACTTAAGGGTCCCAACCCTGTGCAACCGGGGTGAGCCCCCACTATAAATACGCTGCTTACTGGGAGACTAGCTGTTGCAGTTCTCTCTAACTGGGTGAGCCCCAGTTTATAAGGTCACTACTATACCCTGCTGGGGTTATTCTGGGCTTGGTCCCACCATACTATCAAATCTGACCCTACGCCTATTATCAAGACCTGGGTGCCCGTTTATTGCTGTGCCTTTCAGTGACGTATCAGCCTACCCTAACATGGAAGTTTCCCAGAACGTCCCTGTGGACTTCCAGGCTATGATTAACGCAGCTGTCGCTGCCTCTGTGGTGAAGGCACTCTCCAAGGCCCGAGCTCCGGCTCCTGACGTACCAAAAACCCGCAGACGTACACGCCACGAATCGGATTCCGACTTGTCCGACTATCAGACAAGGGATGACTCCCGCCCTAAAAAGCGCCATGACAAAGGCGAGGATTATGCACCAAACCGCCTAAGGGTAAGGCACCTGCCAAGCGCAAATCTGCCAAACTACACACCCCGGCCCCGCGTCAGGAGTACTCTTCAGATGAAGAGCAGGGCCCTGCCCAGTCCATGTCAGTGCTGGATGAATGGCAAGCTGACGCTTGTGAGTCGGATTACGACGCATGGGGCTCGGACGAGAAATCTGTCTCCGCTTTCATGCGGGAGACCCTCCTGGGTGCTGCCCAGACTGGAGGTGTTGAGGACACTGCGGACGCAGAACCTCCTCTAGAATCAGACACCATTTTGGACCCCTCAGGTCAGGCGATGTTCGACCCCCGCAACATATGGCACCCCAGATCGGGTGACTGGTCACCTCCAGAACACCTTTCCAGGTTTATGCACCTGTGGCTCCGCAAACCTCTGGAGAAGGAGGTCCGCAGCCGACTCAGGTCTGAATGCCCACGCCCTTCCCTGCCGGATAAGGTCGCTCAGACCCCTGAATTTGACAAGGTCATGTCGACCTTCATGATGCGCAGTGGTAGAGACCCTCGCCGAGGGGTAGAGAAAGGCCTATGGGGCGCCCAGGATAACCTGCTGGATTCCGTAGGCCCCCTGGCTCGCATTATGTATCTGGCACATGATGCCTACGCCAAAGCCGACTCCTTCTCTGCCGAGGACATCAGGGAATGGGCACATGACGTTCGTGAATGGGCACAACGGTGTTTTGTTTCATTGGAAACACTAATGTTACGCTCTCTTCGGAGAGACGAAAAGCAGCGTTATACCGTATTAACGGTAAATTGGCAGACCTTGGCACAAAGGAGATTGGGCCCCAGGCACAAGGAAAACTATTTGGCAAACCGTTCCTCAAGGAACTCAATAAACACGTAAACGTGTTCACCTCCCTTAATAAGGCGCAATCCTCTATGCGCAGAGTTTTCAGGAGCAACCCTACCAGAGGGGTTTTTGGAAGGGCTGGCTGGCAGCGGGGCCGTGCCGCCAGCCGATTTTGGCCTTCAGGGCCCCGCACCCAACCAACACCGTTCTACCCGACAAGGGACTATCGGCAGCAACCCTTTTCCAGAGGCTCGGATAGAGGTCGTGGACCCCGCGGACATTCCCGCTTTGCTGCAGGTAAGGACCCATATTCCTCCACTGTTACCATGCACCCGCACTGCGGGCCGTATTTCCCTTTCTTTCCAGAATTGGGCCGCCCTATGCTCAGACACATGGATCCTACAAACAGTACAGGGATATATCATAGACCTAGTGGGGACCCCCTTTCAGGTTCAGCCCCCTCGCCCCATCCACATGTCGTCCTCCAACCACAACCTCGTCAACGCGGAGCTACGCGAGCTCCGAGACAAAGGGGCCATCCAGCCGGCCCACGACGGGGGTGGTTACTTCAGCAACATCTTCCTGGTTCGGAAAAAGTCGGGAGAATACCGCCCTGTCATCAATCTACGCGCCCTCAACGCATATGTGGTCTATCGCCACTTCAAGATGGAGGGCATCCACCTCCTGCGAGACCTTCTTCGAAGCAACGACTGGTTCACCAGGCTCGATCTGAAAGATGCATATCTGTCAGTCCCAGTGCACCCGGACTGTCGAGCACTCCTACGCTTCCTCTGGCACGGACGCCCTTGGCAATTCACTTGCCTCCCTTTCGGGCTCAGCTCAGCCCCATGGTGCTTCACCAAGCTTCTAAAACCAGTGGTGGCCCACCTGAGATCCAGGGGCAGTCGATACATCATCTACTTAGACGACCTTCTCCTTTTTTGCTCCGACGAACACAGACTACGCCAACACACTCACTTGGCAGTGTCCCTACTGGAATCTCTGGGTTTCGTGGTAAACCAACCCAAATCGGAACTGACCCCTACTCAGACGATACAATTCCTCGGCTTCGAGATCGACTCGACGACATGCACTCTGAGACTACCAGCCTCAAAGATCACAGCCATTCACAAGGAGATTCGCAGGGTTCTCCGTCTC